CTGTCTCCTCCCCTCTCCCTCTTTCACTATCACTCATTTGACCCTCTCGTGCACAGATGTCCCCCAGCAGGGTATGGGTGGAGGAGCTGTGATAGACTGGTGCCGGGGCCAACAGTGGCTCCAGGGTCATTAGAGAGGTTTGATGCTGGTGCCTGTCATGGTACTGAGTTCTTCTGACCAGCGAAATGAAACAGCCTAATCAAAGGCACCGCACTAAAGAAAGGGTGAGAGAAGAAACAAACTACCCCCACAGATTCTATGGTGTTGGTGGTGACTCATTTTGTACGTGGCACTAAAAAAAAAAAAAACACAAAACTGCTTTGGTTGTCCTACTACTCTTTACTCTATGGTGGTGTCCACTGGTGGTGGTGGTGGGGCAGCTGCTCTGGAAGTGGTGGTATCTGTGGAAGAAGGAAAGTGACCCTGCATATTGGATATTTGAATGGTGCGTGTGTTTGATGCTTGTTGTTCATCTGTCCATCTGCTTTGTTTTAAGGTATGCGAATAGTTTAATCCTGGGTGAAACACACAAACACCTTTGTCATTTTCAAACTGAGATAGAATTATCTTGAAGTTGGAGTGTTAAATTTCATTTCTCCAGTGCTGTATTCCAATTAAGTAACAACCCAGGGTTAAATTACTCATAACTTTTCACTAGTGGAGATGTCTCTTTGCTTGGATTGTGTTACCAGCTATGTTTTGTTGCTAGCCTAACCTGTTTACGTCCTGTATGTGTTGCAGATCCAATGTAGATGTGAACCAAACAGAAACATACATTAACAGCCAAATAGAAACATACATCAACAGCCAAACGAACTGCAGCTTGGATCCAGATGACCAGAGACTTTACTGGCACGAGGGCTCATCCAAACCTGGAACTATAGTGTAGCAGTCAGAGCCATCATCAACTTTCTCAACTTCCACTTTGTGACACTAACATGTGCCTTGGACTGCACTTACCTGTTTTTCTAGATGGAAAAAGGATCCAAAGAATCAAATAACAATCACTGTGGAATTCACACAGGGGAGGACCTTAAGTCGAAGTACAGCTGATTTGAGTTCTCATACATGGAATTGCCAAAGTAGGTCTACCTGCGTACACTCTCTGAAAGCAGAATTACAACATGGTCACCTGATCTGAATGTTCTGGATTGCTGTGGCTGGTCGGGTTAGTCTGAGAAGCTTGGATGACAATAAGGGGATGGAGGACAATGAACATGATTTGTCCTGCATGCTCAACATTACAATGATGGATCTCAAATATTGACACTTTTAAATGTTGAAATGAAGGATTGAAACTTGATTTTGAGTGTGAGAATGGTTACCAATGGCGACCTGCTGAAACATTCCCCAGTCAGTACCAATTTCTAGAGCCCATTCTATGATAGTGTTTGTAGATACTGTACAGCACATTGTGCTATTCTTAGGTTGTCAGTCTTTTTGCACCAGCCATTTAACACAGTATTTGGACCTCTCTCTAGTTCTCAGTAATTTGATCATCTTTACTGCCAAATGCTTCAGTCTAACCATTAAAGTCTAGACTCAACCATGTCAGCTTTTATACTTTAAAATACCTTGTTAACACTTTATCAATGACAGTTATGTAATAAGTCTACTCTATTACATTTACATTTTAGTCATTTAGTAGATGCTCTTATCCAGAGCGACTTGCAGTTAGTGAGTGCATACATTTTTCATACTGGCCCCCCGTGGGAATCAAACACACAATCCTGGCGTTGCAAGCGCCATGCTCTACCAACTGAGCTACAGGGCTTCATTTTATCGCTCATTGCAGTGAGACAAAATGTCTGTTTTTTTTTTATGCTTATTGCATCCCATGCTGGAATCCATGGACTGGTGCCTTCGATTCCTCTCAAGAAGGAATTTGTATGTACATGTTGATAATGTAAATAGATTGTACAGAACCGTTTTTGGAGCATTTTGATGTATTTTTTTTTTGAAGCACGTTATGTATAGTAAACAATCACATTTGTCAAGCTGGTTCTTAGTAGTTTGTATAATTGAAATGCGTTTGAATTAAAACAAACATTTTGAACTATGTCCTCAGTTTATTCATGTTTTTTGTCTTTAAAATGGTTGCTATGACGTCTGAGGAACTTGTGACAAAATCTGAGAAGTGGAAAAACAAATCTCCAGTAACTGATTCAGTAAAACACGGGATTTAAATCCAGATCCATTTAATCAAGCTAGTGTAATTAGTTAATTGGGTTTTACCATAAAAGTACAATGCTTTTTTTACTTAAGATCATGAACTTAAAGAACTGAGGACGATAACGACTCTTTAATGTGGATATAGTCTCTAGCTGTTCCCCTGCACTTGCTAGGCACAACTTAGAGGGATGAAATATGCCTGTGACATGAAACAGAAGATGTTACCTCTATCAGAGTAGTATAAAGTGTCATAGCTGTAAACAACTGTTGCTAGCCTCAGGTTTTGGCTCCATTTTCTCAAACTGGTTTTGTGTCTCCATAAACTGTAAACCAGACACAACCAGTTTGTTTAAAGACTGACGCACACTCTGCCCTTCCCATGTATGACAAACTAAAGTAAACGGCACTAAACCTGGGCCCGTTTAGGAGGGTGCAACATTAAAGAACATTCAGAAATGTACAAATGATTGTCATGCTCAATGGGAAATGAGGCCGGTTGACGTTTTATTGGGATGAATCTGTACATCTGTATACAGCTAGAAACATAAGCATTTTGCTGCGCCGGCGCTAACATCTGCAAAACTGTGTACGTGACCAATAAACTTTTATTTTCTTTGATCTTGTCTTGGAGGCAGAACTGAGCGATTTTCACTAAATGGGCCAGCTGCAAAGTCAAAATTGGCTGTATATCATAATTATTCATGAAAAGGTAAGGGTTAGGCATAAGGTTAGCAGTGTGGTTAGGTGTAAAATCAGATTTTATGACTGTGGCTGTGCCCAGCTAGTGACTACCCTGCAGAGCTGCTTCCAATACGAGTCATCCCAATAATGCCAACCTGCGGAAATGAGTCGGCTCTATTTATTACATTTCTTTCTACATTCTGCAACATTCTGAAGGTTTCACCTCACTGAATAGTCAATACTCCATGTAGTGAAAGTGTAATTCCTGAACATGGAGCCTCCACTCATCCCTGGACCAGTATGTGACCCTTCACCTCTTTCTTTTCCTCCCTCCCCAGCTAGCCAGCAAACATGCCAAGGCAGCAGCTACTCTTCCTGGAGTCCAGCAAAGATTAAGGCAGTAATATACTATTACAGACTTTGGTTTTTCCATTTATGTTTTGAGGTTAGACTTATAGCACGTAGGGTGCACCGATTGACGTCATCTTGTTAGTCAGTATGTGTTACACCTGTGCTATTTGCCATCTCGTTAGTGGGAAGGTGTTTCACCTGTGCTGGCCCAGGTGCTATTTAAGTTGTCTTGATAGATGCGGAGGGTTAACACCTTTAGTTGGCTCTCCCTATTTTGATTTCTAGACAAACAATATTTTATCTGATTTCGTTTTGCTCCACTTTTTTGGTTTGCTTCCTGTCTTTAAGTTAGGTGTAGGTTTTTCTTTTGATTGCCTCTTCTTGGGCAAATTCAGTGATTTTTTGTTAGTTCCCCCTTCTGTTTGAGTGACATTATTCGGTTTTCTTGCTGGGGAACGTAACATATACATTATAATACACATTTTAAACATACATTTTACAACAGATTTCACAATACATTAAGTGTGTGCCTTCCGTCCACTACTCTACTACAACACAATCCAGGTGTACGTGTGTGTATAGTGTGTATGTTGTGTGTGTTTGTACCTGTGTGTGTGACTCTTCACAGTCCTCACTGTTACATAAGGTGTATTTCTATGTTTTTTTCTGATTTTACTGCATGCGTGAGTTACTTGATATGGAATAGAGTTCCATGTAGCCATGGCTCTATGTAGTACTGTGCGGCTCCCATAGTCTGTTCTGGACTTGGGGACTGTGAAGGGTGTCTGAGCTGTGTGCTAGTAGTTTAAACAGACAGCTCGGTGCATTCAACATGTCAATACTTCTTACAAAAACAAGTAGAGATGAAGTCAATCTCCTCTACTTTGAGCCATGAGAGATTGACATGCATATTATTAATGTTAGCTATACAGTGGGGAGAACAAGTATTTGATACACTGCCGATTTTGCAGGTTTTCCTACTTACAAAGCATGTAGAGGTCTGTAATTTTTATCATAGGTACACTTCAACTGTGAGAGACGGAATCTAAAACAAAAATCCAGAAAATCACATTGTATGATTTTTAAGTAATTAATTTGCATTTTATTGCATGACATAAGTATTTGATACATCAGAAAAGCAGAACTTAATATTTGGTACAGAAACCATTGTTTGCAATTACAGAGATTATACGTTTCCTGTAGGTCTTGACCAGGTTTGCACACACCGCAGCAGGGATTTTGGCCCACTCCTCCATACAGACCTTCTCCAGATCTTTCAGGTTTCGGGGCTGTCGCTGGGCAATACAGACTTTCAGCTCCCTCCAAAGATGTTCTATTGGGTTCAGGTCTGGATACTGGCTAGGCCACTCCAGGACCTTGAGATGCTTCTTATGGAGCCACTCCTTAGTTGCCCTGGCTGTGTGTTTCGGGTCGTTGTCATGCTGGAAGACCCAGCCACGACCCATCTTCAATGCTCTTACTGAGGGAAGGAGGTTGTTGGCCAAGATCTCGCGATACGTGGCCCCATCCATCCTCCCCTCAATACGGTGCAGTCGTCCTGTCTCCTTTGCAGAAAATAATCCCCAAAGACTGATGT